AAAAAAAAAAAAAAAAAGATACACACATGGCAAATAAGCACATAAAAAGATGCCAAATGTCATCAGAGAAATGCAAATTAAAATAATGAGACACCCCTACGTATCGATTTGGAATAGGCAAAATCCAGAACACTGACAACACTAAAAATTGTTAAGGCTGTGGCACAACAGAAGTTCTCACTCACTGCTCATGGGCCACAGATGTGATGTTCCAGCCACCACGGGAGACTGATAGTTTTTACAAAACAAGTCTTATTATATGTCTGATCACTGTGTGTTTCTTGGTATTTGCCCCAAAGATTGAAAACTTAAGTCTGCACAAAAACTTGTATATGTATGTTTACAAATGCTTTATTCATAACTGTCTAAACCTGGAAGCAACCAGGCCATTTTTCAGCAGGTAACGGTTAAATAAGTTGTGATATATCTAGGAAATGGAATACTCACGGCTTAAAATAAATGAATTGTCAACCATGAAAAGACATGAAATAAACAAATATTATGCAAAGAAATCAATATAGAAAAGCTATAAAATGTCTGATTCTAACTATATGAAGACATTCCGGAAAAGACAATAAAAACCAGTGATTGCTAGAAGTTGGGTGCAGAGGGAGAGAGGACAGGTAAAAGGTAGAGGACTTTGAGCAAGTCTATGATGATGTTATAGTGGTGAACATGTTGTCATTATAAACTTGTCCAACGCACAGAACGTACACCAAGAAGAGTGAAGTCTATTGTAAACTATGAACTCTGGATAATTAAAAAATATAACAAGATACTATAGAAACATATACAAATAGCTATCAAGTGGTTAGTTGTACAGAAAAACAAAATCAAAGGGTCAGCCAAATAGCTCAGTGTATTAAAAGCACCTGTGGGGGCCGAGGGGTCAATGCCCGGGGCCTGCTGTGCTGGCCCCGCCCCCACCAGGGGGGTGCACTGAGATGCCAACTGAGACTGGGCGTGGTGACATGCACCTGTAATCCCAGCTCTTGGGAGGCTGTAAACAGGAGAATTACTATGAGTCCGATCTAGTAATGAGACCCTGGACACCCTGTAGACCCTTCCCCAACCAAAAAAAAAAAAAAAATCAAAACCACTAGCATGGTTACTACTAGCCACATATGGTCACCATACTTACATTAGAATTTAGTTCTATTAAATTAAACATTCAGTTCCTGTCACATTAGCCACATGTCAAGGGCTAAATAGCCACACTAAAGGTATAGAACATTCTCATATTTGCAGAACGTTCTACCAGACAATGCTGCTCCACATCTAATGTTACAGGAGATAAAAGGAGAAACAACACGATAATGGATGCCTTGGGGACAGAATCAGCAGATTCATACTGTGCAAAACAAATGGCCTGGTTTCTTCAACAATAAAGACAGAGCAATGGGAAAAAGACGGCAATGAAGAGAAAAGTGTTAAGAGATTCGAAAAAAACATACGTGCAGGTTCTGCGGGACCCTGATTAAAACCAAGCTTAAATTAAATTTCAAAAAAAAAAAAAAGAAAAAGAAAAATATTAGAGTACAATCAGGGATACATGAATACTGAGTAGATAATTTGATAACATTAAAGGGATGACTGGGGGCCATGGGGAACTGAACCTAGGACTCAGCATGTGAGGCAAGCACTCATTCTATCACTGAACTACATACCCTGATCCTTTTTAAATTTTATTTTGAAACAGGGTCTTGGGCTATCCCAGGCTCAGCTATCCCAAATGGCCTCACAATCATGATCCTTCTGCATCAGCCTCTCAAATGGCTAGAATTAAACACACAGTTGTGCCTGGCTGTCATTATATTTAAATGGAGTCCTTGTCTTTATAGATACTTACAGATGAAATAACATATCTGTGGTCTGCATCAAAATAGGAGGCATCAAGAAGCATAATTAGCCACATACTGATAATTACTGAAGCTGGACGATGGTTATCTGAGAATTCACTGTCCTAGTTTCTCTACCTTTTTTTTAATGTCTGAATTTTGCCATTAAAAAGTTCCCACAACTGATCTCACTTCAGAAAGGAGAGGCAGTCACAATGAAATCTCTAGCCTCAGCACATCATTCTGTGTCAAGCCCTGGTTCCCTTGAACTGAGCTCCTGGATCCCTTCATTTTCTCCCAGTCTTTCAATTTGTTTCTGAGGACTACTATCTCACAACAAACAACTGACTGCTCACAGGAACTACCATGGGTTTTTGTAACTGTGAAGGTCAATCAGTGCTGCTGGGAGCAGGGGCAAAATGAGCAATGGATTCCTATGGAGGCATGGTCCCCAGGAGAGAATCTCTGCATCTATCAATCTTTTATCTGACCTTATTCTGCTTGCCAAGGTATTTTTCCTCAGGAATGGCCCTCAGGTACTCATCACCTCTCAGGTCTCTTTATTCAACCACACAAACTATTCGGAAGAACACAGTTTTAGATGTATTTCTACTTGTTTCCTTAGAGTTAATCTGTTACATCTCTAAGAGAAAATTCATTAACAAGATTTTAGCTGCGCATGGTGGCACACATCTATAATGCCAGCTGAGGCAGGAGAACTGCTGTGAGTTTGAGGCCAGCCTACATAGTGAGTTCAAGGCTAGCCTGAACTATGTGGTGAAACCCTGTCTCAAAACAAACAAACAAAAAATGATTTTAGCAAAGTATTTCTATAAACTGAGCTGAACAGTACTAAGAACTTACTGTTAACAGCAATCCATTCATTGAGGTCCTCTCCCTCTGGCAACATAACTGCTTGTCTCAGATTTCCACTTCCTAGAGTTGCTTCTGCATGTTTTAAGAGTTCATACTGATGAGACCCTTCAGGGATATTCTTCTTGGGCTTGAATGTTTTAGAAGAGCGGCTGCTGCTGTTGGGTTAAAAGTAAAAATGTATGAATTTTGGCCAGCCAGATAGCTCAGTGAATTAAAGCACCTGCTTAGGCAGACGCAGGGGCTGGGGTTCAATCTCCCGCCTGCTGGCCCTGCCCTCAGAGCAAAGATGGCAATTGAGACTGGGCACGGGCGCGCACCTGTAATCCCAGTGCTTGGGAAGCTGAAAACAGGAGAATCACTATGAGTCCGATCTGTGTAGTGAGACCCTATAGACCCTGCACTAAATACAAATAAAAAAAAAAAAAGTACGAATTTTTAGGAATGAAAGCAAAAAACCATAATTTTAGGTACATAAATTCATATATGAAATGCAATAGAAGTATTTCCTAAAAGATGGCAGGATGGAACAAGGGGATGATAATTACAACAAAAGAATTTTAGGGCTGAGGGTGTAGTTCAGTACTACAGTTTGCCTATATGCATGGGGGTGGGGTGTTGAAGATGCTTATTCTCAAACATGAAAGCTGGATAAGCAGCATAATTTCACAAGTTAGTAAAATGTGATATACTCCATGTAGAAGTCTGGCATAAAGAGTACTTTTACAAAAAAAGAAAGAAAGAAAGAAAGAAAGAAAAGAAAAGAAAAGAAAAGAAAAGAAAAGAAAAGAAAAGAAAAGAGAAAAGAGCCCCACCTCCGATTTTTTTTCTTGGTGGTACCAGGGATTGAACTCAGGACCCTGCACTTGCCAGGCAAGCACTTATTCCACTGAGCTACCTCCCTAGCACCGCCCCCATAGATTCTAGTCTTAACTGGGTCACTAACTTTGTAACTACCTAAAAAAACTTACTTTCTTTTGGCCTTGATTACCTACAGAAAGATAAAGGGAAGATGCTAATCAGGATCCATTTTTCCATATTAAAATATTTGTGAGGTCATCAAAGCAAACTATGGTAAACACTAACATTTTTGGAAAATATGATAGACACAATAATTACTAGGGAAAACTTAAATTTTAATTTCTATTTCATACCATTCAGGAAGTACTCCTAACATGACACAGAACCTCAAAAAGTTTATTTTATTTTTTTTTTAATTTTATTTATTTATTTATGTGTGTGTGTGTGTGTGTGTGTGTGGCCAGTTCAGCCCACCAGAGGGCAGGGCTGGCTGGCATGTGGTGCTGGGGGATTGAACCGCAGTCCTTGTGCTTTGCTAAGCTTGTTCTAAGTAGGTGCTTTAGACCACTGAGCCATCTCATCAGCCCAAAACCTCAAAAAGTTTAAAGAAAAAATGAACTGACTTCAAATCATAACAAAACTTACCTTTTTAAAAATGTATTTAGTACAGGGTCTCACTACATAGATTGGACTAGTAGTGATCTTCCTGTTTTCAGCTTCCTAAGCACTGGGATTACAGTTGCATGCCACCATACCCATAGAGAAAAAAACGTAAATAACAAAAGTACATGTAACATATGTTACAAAAGATTAACTAGACAAAAAAGAATTTTCTTATTTAAGTAACTCTTTAGAAAAATACACTAGGAGGGGCCAGGAAGATGGCTCAGTGGAATAAGCGCTTCCCTGGCAAGCGTAAGGGCCTGAGTTCAATCCCCGGTTCCACCAAAAAAAAAAAAAATAGAAAAATACACTAGGGAGAGGAAAAGGCAACTCAAAAGTACAATGATCAATAAAGATGTGAAAATTGTTCAAATCAGATTTATTTTTCTTTGTGAGTCAACAGAATGATGCTGGGTGTGGTAGCACACACCTGTAATCCTAGCACAGTAAGAAGCTGAAGCAGGTGGACTGTAAATTGAGTCTCACCTGTGTAACCCTGCAATTCAGGAAGACCATGTCTCAAAATAAAAATTTTAAAAAGCACTAGAATATATATTCAGTGCAGAGGCCCTAGGTTCAATCCTTAGTACCAAAAAAAGTGACTACTAGTTATAGACTAAAGAATAGAGAAAGTAATACTTTAATCACTATTTATAGAAGTGGAAAGTGCACCTGTTTTCCAAGATTGTCCTAAAGTTTACCAGTACAGAATTAAATTACGTATGGAACATCTACATTGTGTAATATGTTATAGTAATAAAGGACAGGGAGTAGATATATTCATACAGAAAGATTCAAAACACAGCTAAACACATCACAGAACCAAACACACTGCTGGACTCCTTTAAATGCACAGAGGCACCAGAACAATACACACAAAACTGGTGTTGGTATTACTTCAAGAAGGGAAAAGGAACAAAATTGTGGGCCTTCACTTTATCTGAGGAACTTGAATGTAAAATATCTTATTCGTACATGTTTGTACTATATAGTGATTATTTTCATCATAGGGAGTTGGTACATGCACATACTGAATTTTAAATGTGTAAGAAGTGAAAATACTAAAAATTAAATAAGAAAAGTATTTTTTAACATGGTAGAGTCACAATGAATGAAAAGATATTTTAAATTAGATGGACCAGCCCTGTACACATAGGAATAAGCTGAAATCGCAAGAGACTACGAGGAACATGTAATGTAAAACATTAATAATTTCTCAAGATTCAATATGATCTTCATCTATGCTTCAAATGACATTATCAATCCAGTGAAAATCCACATGATGGAAGAAAATATCGGGAAATGTGAGAAAGGGACCAGTAACCAATAAAGAACTCTTACAGCTTAAAAACAAAAAGGCAATCCAATCTAAAAATGGGCAAAGGATAGGATCTGACTAGACTTTACTCTAAAGAATATGTACAAGTGGCCAATCAACACAAACAGATGTTTAACATTATTAGCAATAAGGGGATTATAAATCAAAATTTAAAAATTCAACTCCACATTCACATGACCACTATCATTAGCAAGTGCTAGAGAGGGTACGGGGAAATTGGAACCCTCACACAGCGCCGGTGGGAACACAAAATGGCACAGCGCTTGGAAAAAGTTCAACAGCTTCTCAAAAAAAAAAAGTTGGATTATAAGCGGAAGTTGGATATAAATCAGCAATTCCACTCCTAGGTATATACCCAAAAGACAGGAAGACATACTTCCACACAAAAACCTGTACACAAATGTTCGTGGCAGCATGATGCAAAATAGCCAGAAAGTGGAAAACTTTGTCTCTAGTAATGACAACGTTTCAAAGAAATAAAGCCAAATATTTAGGTCCCAAAGGCAACAACGGTGTATCCAGAGACATATTTCCAACTAAATATCAAGTCCAACTTGGGTGTTCCTTACGTGTGTAGCACTTCTGATTTGGAAATCGGTAATAGTATCTATGTTTTGAGATAAGGTGGTCTTGAACTATAGGTCCTCCCACCTCAGCCTCCCAATGAAGACTTCTGACACGATGATCATATTTTGGAAACTATACCCTTCAGAAAATAATCTGAAGGCAGGAAAATGAAATTCAGATACTTTCAGTAATGCTATTTTATAATAGCAATATACTACAAAGAATCTGTATTTCTCACATTAAAGAAATGGGTAAACTCTGGTACTCTGGTTACAAAACACGTAATTCAGCAAAATGTACTCAAAACGGCAAGCAAGTGGATTCCATTCAAAACTACGAATGGTTACTTATCCAATCATATAACACAGTTTCATGATATACAAGGTAGAGAACACTACCTACGAATAAGGCGCCTGAGGTTAAACCTTCACGCGCCTAAGAGTCATCAGAGAATTTACAAACTTGTCCATTTAAGCCTCGTTTGGGCCCAGGTATTATTTCCAACAGGATTCTACCAAGGTCAATAGTATTTAGAGTCACAGAATAGGTTAACTGGGCAGAACCACAGTTGGACAGAATGGTTTGGCTGCAAAGCCCACATCTTAACTTCAAGATTCCACACTCTCCTGGCGCAAGTTTTCGGCGGGAGGCAAAGTAACACTGACAATAATGAAACTAAACCAAAATGATGGAGTGGAAGAGTTTGTCTAAGTCAGCGAGGATCGTTACCATGGAGGATCGAAACTTGAGAGAAACAGCGAGCCCGCAGCGGGCCGGGCGCTCCGCCCCAGATCGTCTCTCCGCCCTCAGGGGCGCTGGGGCGGAAAAGTTTGGAGGCGCAGCCGGCCTCGGGGCCTTCCGACTCCCCAACCGCGCGCTCCGCTTCCTCCGCCGCGAACTTCACCTCCGTCGGCCCCGCCCCCACCTCCCGGAACCGGGCCGGGCCGGACGCTGGCCACCCGACCGCGACCCCGACCCCGACCCCGACCCCGACCCCGACCCCGGGCCCGCTCGCCCTCGGCCCGCAGCCTGGCCCCACTCACAAGAGGAAGCTCATCGTCGGTCCTCGGAGGGGAGGGGCCGCTGGCCCCCGCCCTGGTCAGGACTCGGAACCCGCGCGGGAACCGAAAGGGGCAGCGGACGGCCTCTCAGCGCGCGGGCAGCGGAAGCCTGGCTCCGAGCCGGGTTGAAACGAAGCGAGCCGGTGCAGACAGCGGAGGCCACCTCGCCCGCTTCCCCTACCCAGCAGACCCGAAATGCGGAACAGCAAAATCTCGCGAGCCAAGGCTTCGCGTCCCGCCCTCTCTTGCCAAGCAGGACTTGCGGTCCCCTATTTCCCCGCCTCCTTTCAGGATGTAGCCAATCAGCGTTCCGCAAAGTAGGCCTTTCCTCCGCCAGAGGTGTGGTGGGGCCACGGCCCTCCGGAAGGGGGTGGGGCTAGGCGTGCGCTGGATCTTGCTCGGCGCTTCTGTTGGGTCGGTTCTGTCCTAGGCGAAAGAGAGCCCTCGGTAAGAGCAGCCCACTTCTGCAATTAAAAACAAACTAATTTTAATAGGTGTATATTTTCATAGGAAAAAATCATCTTTTCATAATATACGCACTTCGTACCATCCATGGGGCCCTGGGGTCAATCCCCAGCCCTCCAATAAAATGGAAGTTTCAGTTTTTGTGTGTCATGTACCCATCGAGTTGCACAACCATTGTCACTATTATCTCATTGTGGAACGTGTTCATCCCATGCCCATTAACCATCCCCATTAACCATCCATTAGTCTATTTCATAGTTCAATAACGTGCTCCTCAATGTGGACATTTCCTATATTCGTGACTTTTTTTTTAGGGAAGGGTCTACAAGGTGTTCAAGGTCTCACTGCTAGATCGGACTTGTAGTGATCCGCCTGTTCACAGCCTCCCAAGAGCTGGGATTACAGGCTCAAACCACCACAGCAGGTCCGCGGATCGAACCCCTGGCCCCTGCACCTGCTTGCAGGTGCTTTAATCCGCTGAACTATTTGGCTGGCCCTTTTGCAACTCTTTTGTATGATGTTTGAAAGTTCCCTCTTTAAGTGAGCCTTAAAATAACTTTATCCTTTTTTATGAATAAATAGCATTCCATTAGGGAATATCCCACATTTTGTTTATCGGTGGACATTTAGATTGTTTCCATTTTGTGGAAATTACAAATAATACTACTATGAACATTCACATTCAGGGCTTTTTTGGGGTGAAGAATCCACTGATACCACGTTGCAGCTAAGTGACACTGTGGTGGAAAGGATTAAAAAAGGAGAAAAATGGTGAGAGACTTGGGTCATATATAGCTCAGCAAGTAGGGTGGGGAGGCCTAGTGTAAAAATTTTGCCACTGGTGTGGTGACTCATACCTGTCATTTCAGCACTCGGAGGTTGAGGAAGATCGAGTTCCAGACCAGCCTGTGCCACAAAGAAAGCTCAAGGCCAACCTGAACTGCATAGGGAAACCCTGTCTCAAAAAGAAAGAGAGACAGAGACAGAGACAGAGACAGAGACAGAGACAGACAAAGAGACAGAGAGAGAGAGAGAGAGAGAGAGAGAGAGAGAGAGAGAGAGAGAGTTTTGTCCTGTACCTATCACCATGGTATTCACATTCTGATTTTACTTCATGCAAACATCACCTGTCATTCCTAAATTAATGACATTAGTGATGTCAATTTTTATCTCATTAACTTTTGTAGTTTTGCTTGTAATTTAAACCTGTGCTTTGATATAGCTGGACAGAAGCTATAAACACAGAGACACAGACTCACACTTTTTAAATATACTTATCATAGTAGGGCCGAGGAGATGGCTCAGTGGAATAAGCTTTTCCCTGGCAAGCGCAAGGGCCTGAGTTCAACCCCCAGTTCTGCCAATAAATAAATAAATAAATAAATAAACTTATCATAAAAATGTAACATGAACAGCCTAGCATGTTGGACACACCTGTAATCCTAGCACTTGGGAGGCTGAGGCAGGAGTGTCACCGTAAGTTTGAGGCCAGCCTGGACTACATAATGTGTTTAAGGCCAGCCTAAGCTATGCAACAAGACTTCCTCTTAAAACAACAAAAATCTCCATGAGAATAAAGTAATTCAAGAAACATTTTCACCTTTTAATGGAATTGTTCTTCAAGTTGGAGAATTGCTAAATCTATGAAAGATCAGTAATTTAGGAAAACCTTGCAGGAGGGTTAGTTTTAGGGAGGGAAGGTGGAAAGTTTAGGGACTAGGGAAAGTCCCAGTTCAGTATTTGACCAGGATATCAATATATTCCACTCAGGGATTAAAGAGAATATTTTTGGGTAAAAGAGGGGAGGGATGAGAGAAAAGGGCTAATTATTAATTGCACCCTACAAGATAGGAGCTATGTTAGGACTGAGGAAGTTTTATCCCCTCTTTGGCTCAGCCAGACAGAGATCGCTGCACACCATCTGCTTACAGCAGATGCTGAAAACAGAAGCAATGTGGCAATTTACAAAGCCGCAAGGCCCGCCTCCCCCGGAGCTCTCCATCAGCTCCAGCCCTCCTCAGCCTGCATGTCGCTTTCTGTCTTCCTTGGGCAGGATTTGCAACTTGCATTTTTATTCAGTGTGAGTGTCCTGCCCAGTCATTTGCAAACCTCCTTCTACCCTGGCAACCTCACCCATGCACAGTTTCCTCCCACTGTGGCCACAGTAAGTTCCTGCTTCCCAGGCAGGTGGTACTCTCCGGGGCTCGTGTTTTCGTCTCTGTCACAGGCGAGTGAAAAAAGACAGTACAGTTCTGTGACATCCCTGCCCATTATCTAAGGACTCAGGTTGCAGACCGTGAGAGAGGAATCCCAATTCGTCAGACATCTGAAACCCAAGGAAAGAAGCCATGTGAAAGTTGCCACTCTGAAAATGTCTTTCATCCAAGACGTTGCCTCTGTGTTGGCTGCATACATTCCTGAACAAAATAGATGGCCTCTGCTCTCCTAGAGCTGACATTCGGCTGCAGAAGATGGCAGTTAGTCAAATAGTTATATCAGTGGATGATGCGTAATTACACACTGTGGCAGCTGCTATGAGGAAAAGCATAGACTGCATTCAGAGCTGTAACGGCATGTGACGGATTGGGTGTGATGCAAAGCCTGTAATCTCAGCACACTGGGAAGCTGAGGCAGGACAATTGCAAGTGTGAGCTCAGCCTTTATAATAAACTGTCTTATATTATAAGACAGTTTAAGGCCTTATCTCCCCCAATTTAAGACCCTATGGCGGGAGGCAGAGAGAGAGAGAGAGAGAGAGAGAGAGGGAGGCAGAGAGAGAGAGAGAGAGAGAGAGAGAGAGAGAGAGAGAGAGAGAGAGAGAGAAACTGGAGAGGTAGCTTAGTGGCTCAGTGTAAAGGTCCTAAATTCAGCTCTCAGTAATGAAGACAAAGCTGATAAAGTGGTACAAGATCATAATCAGCGGTCTGTGAGGATGAAGCAGGGTTGAGAGTTTGAGGCACAGCCTGAAATATAGCATGGCACTCTGTCTCAAAAAAAAACTCAAGCGGGGAGAATTATGGGAGAAATCAAAGAGAGATTGAGGCAGGTTGTGGTGGTGTACACCTGTAATCTCAGCACTTTGGAGGCTGAGGCAGGAGGACTGCTATAAATTCCAGGTCAGCCTGAGTTACATAATGAGTCCCTGGAAAGGGGAGGAGAGGGAGGAAGGGAAGAAGGGGCAGAGAGAGAGAAAGGGAGAGAGTGAGAGGAGAGAGAGAGAGAGAGAAACAGAGGCAGAGAGGCAGAGAGACAGAGACAAGGAGACAGAGAGAGAACGAGAAACAGATAGAGAGAGACAAAGACAGACAGAGAGACAGAGACAGAGAGACAAAGGGAGGTGAAGGAATTCAGAGGTCATCTAAGTAAGACCCCAGAAGAGGAATTAGCCAAATGAAGAGAGAGAAGCTCTGCTTGGAGTCAGTAGGGTGTGCAAAGGCTCTGAAGCAAGTAGGAACTTGCTGTGATAAGGAACCAGGGTGACAGAATGTCACAGGCAAAAGAGAAAGTAAAGGGAGATGAGACCAGCCACCAAGAACCTCAGGCTATTTGAAAGAAGGTGGCCAGAAGGGTTTCAGAAGCATGAGACCACCTACTCTTGAGAAGCTGAACCACTAAGCACTGTGGTGCAGTGGTTACAGGCTCACATGCCACCACTGCAATGCCCAAGTTCCAGTCTCTGCAGGATGCTGGGGAGCAGTGTGGCCCTGGGCAGATCACTTTCCTTCCTCAGGTTGGCTTGTAGCCTGGCAAGGTGACACAGACCTGTAATCGCAGCACTTGGGAGCCCAGGGCAGGAGCACAGCCGTGAGTTCAAGGCCAGCCTGAACGACATCGTGAGAGCCTGTCTCAAAAAGACCAAATAAGTAAATAAATGAAAGCTGGGGGTGGGGGGTGGGGTGGGGAAGCTGAAGCAGTTAACAGATCATCGTAGTTGCCTGGGCAGGAGATGGAGCTGACCAGGGCCAGGTCAATAGACAGAGAGGTAGAAAATTGAAAGAATGCAGCAAAACTCGAGGAAAGGACAGGATGTTCTCTGTGGCAGGCAAGACAATAAAAGCAGGCAGAAAGACTGCTTGCAGCTGGCTACAGAGGGGCCTGAGCACCTCCATCCACAGAATTTAGATTAAAACTTGGGGGACATTTCGCATGAACGCAATTTCAATATAATACTGCAAGGACTATAGAGGTAAGCCCTTTTGGCAAGCATATGAAAATGTATAATAATGTTCACGCAAAGTTTCCCTTTGTGTTTTGTTTTGTTGATACAAAGTCCACTCATACAGCTCAGGTGGGCCCTGAACTCACTCTGTAGTCCATACTGGCCTCAAAGCTGTGGTGATCCTCCTGCCTCAGCCTTGAGTAAATGTGCACTCCTGTGTCCAGCATATATAAGAGTTAATGTTTTGGTCCAGGAAGGCAACGCACACCTATAATCCCAGAATTTGGGAGGCTGAAGCAGGAGAATTACTATGAATTCAAGGCCATCCTGGGCTAGATAGTGAGTTCAAAGCCAGCCTGAACTGCATAGTTCCAATATATATATATATATATATATATATATATATATATATATATATATATCAAACAAACAAATAAATGAATAAAAAAGTCAATGCTTTGAGAAAAAAGAATTTCCAGAACTTTGCAACAAGGTAAGATTAGGCTTCTTGGAAGCAGGGCCTGTCTGGGCATGGTGGCACGTGTGTACAATCCTAGCGTTTGGGAGGCTGAGGCAGGAGGATTTCTGTGA